CGACTCTCTTGCAATCAGACGAGAGATTTTACGCGATATTTAATCTTTTATATTTTGCTGGCTTAAAATGAACCAAAAACATTTCAACACTTTTAAAAGCCAACCGAACAACTTATATAGTAATACTTAGAAAATATTTTATTTTAATAAATGTTTGTTACCATCAGTGTATATCTATGCGGATAGACGAAATGCTATACCTACCTTAAAGATTTATAGACACCTCACGCTGAAAATACCGATGCAATGTATGTAATATAAAATAGATAGAGATATAAGAAAATATTGATCCAAATTTGTCCACTCCTATGTTAGATTAGATTAATATTTCCGTTAATTCTCACTATTTCAATTGATTAGTTCAATCGTTGAACTAGTAAAATTTTTTAGTAGCGAATATAAATTATATAAATATAAATTAACTGAATATGAATATTTTTAAGAAATGAAGTACTGTTAACTGAAGTGGGTACAGCAAGATTCGTTTATAACAGCTATTTCGACAGTATCATATCCTATGGATTATTATGTGAGTTTTGTTTTCTGATAATGAAAATGAATTCATAATAGAGAAAAGAGCTATATATGCTATTTACAATATCAGATCAAGGGACTCACTCAGAGACTATAAAGAAAATAATATCTTTAACAAAATGAATGATGTTCATAATGTTAACCCGCGCAATCTAAACTTGCTGTACCGAAGTACAGACTTTATAGAATTAGCTCATTTATGGGTAGATGTAATATTAATGATTTGATTTTGTACCTATGTATAATTTCAAAACGCATATAAAACATTCTTATGAAGAAACGGTGATATTTATTTATATAAAATCATCATTGCACATAAAGTGTACAATTGGCGGGATTAACGTCTTTAGGCATTCTTTACTAGTCAACCACAAGCTAAGCAGAGAAAATTAAGCAGGTGCCATAAAATCATGAAGTACGTGTACATAAATATAAATATAAAACGTAAATAACAATCATTTAATATTAATAAACTTATGAATTAAAGAAAAGATTTAATTATATATCTCTCTTAAAAGGATTTTTATTTTAACCTACTGAAAAGGAGTCTCACTTATTCAAGGGAATTAAGTTTTTATTTGATTGAGTTAGAGCATATTTTCGAAAAAGCAAGTAACATTAACGATACGGAAAATGCAATAAAAGTGAGGAAAAGGGATGAATACAATCTCTATATTATTATTATGTACAATTTGTTTGTGATAGAGGGAATAGAGTTGGCAGGTGGCTCAAACTCAAGCACAGGTAGGCACCGGCACGTTTCTCAGCAACCCTTTGATGTTATAGGGTTGTCAATCATATTTATTTTGAAATTTATTTACTTCTTATATAATTCAACTTAAAGAAAAAACAATTTTAAAAGTATCGGAAAAAACAAAATGTATTAAGATTTTATTAGCTCTCACGTTGTAAGAAGCCACTGAATTTAAGCTAACATTATAACTATGATGCCAAACCGCCAAGTAAATTATTTGTAGTACCTGTAACGCGTTTTTCTATTTTAATAAACGTTAACATTACAGCAAATCAAAAGTCTACTTATTTTTCAGATTTGCAGGTTTCCTCACGATGTTTTCCTTCACCAACGAGCACGTGGTAAATTAGCGCTTAAAATTATAATTAACGATATCACTGGTGTCGGCGGGGATCGAACCCATGTTGCTCGCGTACTGTAAAATTTATAGAGAGAGCTTAGCCCCTGAGCTGCCACTGCTCATGTCCGAGAAATAAGAAAAAAAATATTTCTAAGACATGTGAAGCTAGCCAACTCGCATTGCGGCGGCGCGGCGCATATTTTCTTGCCCTAAAAACCCTTTAAGAAATGAGAGGAGTTTTGTGCCCAGCTATGGGACGTAAATAGACTATAACTTTAACTTTAAAAGTCCTCTCCTGAACATAGATTTTTCCGTAGTTAAAAATTAAATTAAATTAAAAACTATCGAAAGTACATTGTAGACACTCACGTCGGATTAATTTCAAAACTCATCGCTTATTTCTCGACTCTCTTGCAATCAGACGAGTGATTGAAGAGCGATGATAATTTTACAGACAGCCCTGACAGCCCTACGCGGCGACCGTACCGAGCAGTTAATTGGTATCATTGTTCCATTATTGTCTTGATCGAATACGACTCGGATGGTTCATACTAGTGGTCGACTGAGGTATATTATTTGTGTAAGGGCCGAAATTTTACTGGTTTGGTGTCAATAAACTATTTTTATATGCCGTGTAGTAGCGGTGTAAGAATATCCATACACCATATCATCCCGTGGATGTCGTGAGAGCTGACAGTGGGAAACCAATCAGGAGATGGGTATCAGCGGCTTCCTGATAACACTGCTGTTGCCATCCCGCATGCCAAGCGTGTCGTCTATAGCAAATATCCTCCATTGAGGTAAGTCTAGTAATTTTTAGCAGTAATCTTTAATAATCAATATAAGACAAAAACATTATTTTTTATAGCAAATTGTTACTAAGGAAAAACGGTTAGGAATCTTTTAATTGCTTTTGTAGTTTGTGCAGCGTAGCCTTGTTGTTCATAATACGGAAGTACGGATGTCGATCGTGATTTTTAAAAAAAAAACTGAAAATAAATACTGGTTTACTGAGATGAAAATACTACGTAACAATTTAAAGTATTATTGGAATACTTTTGTCTACTTCTATCATGTGTATATGTCGAATATTATTAGTATTTGAGAACTAGGTACACTTAAAGTCCTAAGCATACTCAATAATATGTAGAAAACTGGATAACTTGTGTCTGTCGGTAGGCTAAAGCTGACATAAGTAATCCTCAAGTAAATTGTGTTATGGCTCGCAAAAACCTTTTAGTTCTGTTTAAAGCCGCTTAAGTAGAATAAATTTAGGGTTAGTGTAGAGTTCTAATTAAATTTTCTCGTTTTAAAACCGTTTTTTATAGAAGAGAAGGTAAACGAGCCGACGAGAGATGAAGGGTCACATGACGGTATAAGTGACTACCGCCGCCCATGATCAACTGCAATACAAGGGGAATTGCAGATGCCTTGCCAGCCTTTTAAAAAAAAGTAGGCTCTTTTCTTGTATCCGTCCGAAATAATCGCTGCTGGTAGTAGATTTCATAAGGAAGTTGTATGAGAAATAAAACTTCTAAATCACACAGCGGCGGACCGCCACTGTGCGCTTTAGAAGTTAAGTTTTACTTGATTTTTTCTCATAATGTACACTGTGTTGTCGCCATGAGTGAATAGTTTCATGTCTTTATTTTTTCATAAAATTTTTACTATTTGTAAATAAATAGTAACAAAGCTCAAAATTATGGCGATCTAAAATTAGATTCAGATTTTCTATGAAATAGCTGTTTCCTTTCTGTAATCAACATTCAGGATCCCTAAGATACGCCAGAAGCCTGCCAAAGCGAATCTCTTCGAATTAATTACGATTTTCTTTATTAGTTATTTTTTGTATCATTAAAAATGGGCAAAATCTTATGTGACGCCTATAGAAGCTTATATAAACGGTACAACAAAGTAAAATAGACAAAATAAAGATACAATCATCATTGTCTACGAGGCGTTATTGTGCCAGATCTTGGACTTAAATATATGTAATTCCAATATAATGAAAAAAATATATAAGAAATGTTTTAAACGTAGCTCATTTTCTGGTATGGACTCTACTGATCTACGTCGACAAGCAGGTTTCAAGAATATCAAGGTCGTTTCAAGAAGAATTCTAGAAATTTCAAACGCGTGGGCACTACTTTTTGATTGCCAATTTCATAAAATCTAACATAAAGAAAATCTCGTAAAACTGTCTCAGTATATGTTTAATGTGTATGTAGCTTTCTTTAAAATTTACTTCTTTTAGATTCTTACGGTCGGGGTCTCTTACATAACTAGCTCGCGGCCCAGGACTCATGGTCACATGGAGCTGTAAGAGTCGTATAAACTAACAGCGCTAACATCCAGAAAATAGTAGTAATAGTCTCTTACATAGACTAGTACTCGTTATATTTCTTTTTATAGAAGAGGGGGCAAACGATTATGCGGCTCTCCTGATGGAAAGAGACTATCGCCGCGCCGCCTTTGAACAACTGCAACACTAGGTGAATTGCATGTGCATTGCCGGCCTTTTAGAAAGAACCGTCACCGTCAAATACGACCTTGATGCTCCGATCAGATAGAAAACTGGTGATAAAATTGCGCAATTTCTCAGGAAGCCCATCGGAAGTAAGCTTCGTAAGAAGTACTTTGTGCCTAACCCAATCGAAAGCCTTCGCTATGTCCAAACTAACCGCCAAAACCTCCCCCTTGAACTCGATCGCCTGCACCCAGCGGTGTGTCAGGTAAACCAGAAGATCACCAGCTGAGCGACTCAGAAACCGTTTTGACGTTCACTAATAACCAGTTGGGTTATTCTCAAGGTACCTCTTGAGCTGACAGTTAATAATTGTTTCAATTAAATTCAGTTAACAATGTCTCTCTGTCTGTCGGTACATTTGTGTGTCGGTATGTCTGTCTGTTTGTTCCGGCTAATCTCCGAAATTACTGAACCCATTTAGGATGGACTTTCACTGGCAGATAGCTGATAATATAAGGAGTAACTTGGCTACTTTTATTAAAGAAAACAAATAGGGTTCTGCGCAAAAAAATCAAAACCCATCAAATCCATCCGTAATAAATTCACCGGGGGTAAAATTTCGGTAACAGTTAGTTTTATAATACATAACTCATTGTCTACTTTGTTTATGTTCTACTTGTCTTTGTTTAGTAAATATTGTAAACTCGGTGATACACCAATCTTATTTTTTCAGGAAAAACGTTTACATTGCTCTATTGATGTATTACTTACTGATGTACGTGTAGAGCTAGATTTACTGGCTGTGTAAGATCCAATAATTTATTGATAAAAGAAAATTACTAGTATGGGTTTCTTGTTAGGCATGAGCGTAAGCGTTTAACATACACAGTCGGAGTAATACTTACTAAGAGGATGGTTTTCTTTTCCTTGTCGCGCTGGCGGGGTCTCCAAGCGATGGAGTCGACGCAGTGGCCAGCGGCGTTTCACAATGCGGCATTTTGTAGCTCTCCGGGCAACTAGACACATTTTATGAGCTTAATACTAAACAATCACAAATCATACCAACCTTCGATCAACAATACCAACTAGATAACGGGTCACGTACAAAATCATAGCTAAATACTGTCCGCATGAATATAAACTATGAAAAGACATAAATTAAATAATATTTAGTGTGAAATCAACCTTAATTTATAACAAATAAAGTTCTTTTTCCCGTTATTGCCTTGCGAGCTACACTCTCACGTGCAAGAGCTCACGTCTCATGTGCGCTCTTATTTACGGAGATGGATTTCTTGCGCCGACCCGACATCTAGTTGGTATTGTTGATCGAAGATACCAATGTATACATAGGTACAAAGGCAATTGAAGTGTCTCTCTATAATATAGAAATAACTACCTTCTATTAAGTTAATTGCGTGCTATTAAGATATCGGTCTGTCTGAATATTCTTCCGCATGGCTGATGCGATTATGATGACACTTTACGAACAGAGATAAAAAATTGATAAAATAAACGATTATTATTACCATCTCAAACCTAAATAACGTAACGCCGTAGCTTAGCAATGAGTTATAGCATTGAGGGCCGCTGGTTCGAATCCCGCACGGAACAATTGCCTACAAGAAATTGTTCCGGGTCTGGAATTGTGCAATTGATGTTTGTATATTGCCTCCACGATACAGGAGAAAAACCTAGTGGGGGTAAGGTTTTAAAAAAATATGTGTGCGAAGCGTTCGGGAGATTACGACACATCTTGTCGTCAGGCAAACCTCAAAACTTAAAAACTAGATTATACAACCAGCGCGTATTGCCAGTGACGACCTATGGATCTGAGACGTAGTCCTTCAATGCTAGCCGTATAAGGAAACTCAAAGTCGCTCAGCGAGCTATGGACAGGGTTCTGTTCGGAGTTTATCTGCGTGATAAAGTTAGAAATGAGGATATCTGCAGTAGAACCAAAGTGACCAACATAGCCCAGCGGATGAGTAAGCTTAAGTGGCAATGGGTAGGCCATATAGCTTGAAGAACCGATAACCGATGGGAAAAAAGGTTCTCGAGTGGCAGCCTCTTACAGGTAGGCTAAATAAAAGGCGTACCCCCACCAGATGGAGTGACGACCTGGTAAGACATGCAGGAAGTCGATGGATGCAGGTGGCTCAGGACCGTGCTTTTTGGAATTCCTTGGAGGAGGCCTATGTTCAGCAATGGACTTGAAAGGGCTGTAATGGTGATGATTATGACGATATATATATACATTATATATATATATATATATATATATATATATATATATATATATATATATATATATATATATATATATATTACATACATATATACCATGTTATTCATAATTAGTATTTAAACGAATAAAAATTGGCTTTTTCAGAAAACTCGACCATAAAATATTTAATTTATTTAGGATATTTATTTGTATATGTGTGTATATTAAGATATTATAAATATATAAATATAACTTATACATGACATAAAATATTCGGTGTGCTTTGCACTTCAGAGTGTAACAAGGGTTCTCACTAGTGCGGGCTCTTCCTCTTGCGCGGGTCGTGGTGATGGTGGTGCGCGGGCTGCTGGGCGGGCGCGTGGGCGGCGACCAGCAATCCGCCCTCGTACCCGCCGCCCGCGCCCACCGCCGCCGTCATCTCGTACGCCGGAGCCGCGCTCGCGTTCGCCCCACAGGAAACAAACAAAGAAAGAAATGTAATTATTCGCCAGCAATAGGCGTACATATTTTTAAATTAAGCTGAAATATAAAGAGACCAATACCAGGCTCCAAACGTAATTTTTTATAGTACAGAGCCAACCCTAAAAATGTATATGTACAAATGTATGTATACTAGCTTGCCAGGCAGACGTTGTTCTGCCCTTTTCGACGATCCTTTGTCAAGTCCTATTAAAATGCTTATATTAGCAAAAAAAATTGTGGTTCACTCATGGGCAAAAAAACTATCCTATCTCTCAAGTTGGACCAAACTGCACACGGTGTGCAAATTTGATTAAAATCGGTTAAGTAGTTTAGCAGTCCATCGCGGACAAACAACGTGACACGTAATTTATATATATTAGGATGTAATATACATTTTAGGGTTGGCTCTCTACTACAAGAGTTTAAGTTGGTTGTTAGCTGGATTGGCTGTCTTACCTGTGCTTGAAAGTTAGACCCGGCTATGCGGCCGTTCACTGCTGTGTTCTCTGTATCAAATGAGTCTCTGGAAGCTTTAGCAAGCTAGGCTAATAGCACTTACATCACAGAATTGAGACGGTAAGACAGCCAGTATTGTTGCTGGCTGTGTGATATTTATTTTAATTCTGAATGGTGACAACGCATCCGTGACTATCCTTGCTCGAATTTGTTTAAAGATGCCCTGGGACAGTAGTAGTCACTTATCATCAGGTGGATTATTTGCTAATTTTTCAGTTTATAACCGTTACCGTTATAACAAAAATCAAAAAGATAATATGCTATGTGAAGGCGTAAGAATATCCAGTACCCCATATCATTCGACAGGTGTCATTGGAGGCGACAAAGAGAAACAAAATCAGGAGATGGGCACCAGCATATTCCCGAAAACTACTGAAAATACAATAAGAACTGCGGTTGCCAGCCAGACTGCCAAGCGTGGCAACTATGTCAAAATCCCTTCCATGAGGCAGTCCATGGACGAGGACTCTGTTCAGCAAAGTACCTTTATAGGCTGAAACCGCATGGAATGGTGTGCAGTATTACCGCTGTGGTGATTTGTATGGTGACGATCTAAGACACAACTAGTGGTAACGAGACGCTGAAATTTAAAAAACGGTTCAAGAAACGTGGTAGAGCCATGCTGCAGTATTATTATGGTTGTAGCACGAATGGGTCTACTCGACCGGGGAAGGACCACGCTCTCACACAATACCAGCGTGAGATAGCAACTCAATGCTGCTGTGTTTAGTATGATGAGTGTAGATAACCGGATACCCTTTTTACAGGAAACGAGGCAGACCTTCGTTCTCAGGGGTAGAAATACATCTACATTTTGATTCTTAGTTGAGGATGAATGTAAAAAGTAGATGTCTATGGGCCACAGCATCCATTAACCACCAGGTGGACTGTGTGCTCGTTTGCCACGCTTATTCTACAATAAAAATTCTTTGTGTTGAGACTCTTTCTTAAGCGGGTCTGATCCTCTCGCAAAGCGTTCCTTTCATGTTCGTCACTTCACAATTATTCAATCACCGACTCTCGCTTAGCTCAATAGGACACTTTATTCACTAAATTGTCTAGATAATCCTCGGCCGTTGTTGTTTCGATCGTAGTACATAAGACTAGAACCAACGATCTCATTGTTTTTAACATTGTATGCACATTGCACACATATAAGATGCAATATCAAATCACAAAGAGACATTTGGAAAGACCTTATCCGTTATTTGGAATTATAATAGGTATTGTGTTCATAACAAAAATAGCCGCATTTATTCCGGAACTCCATCAACTTCACTATGAATATACCTACGTGGTGATCCAAGATGCGTTCGTGTGTTGTTAATTGCGACGGTATGCTGCAATTCGCGTGCGTTTGCAAAGACGCAACCTTGACACTGCACACACGACGCTGTCACCCGATATGCAGAAGCGGTCAATCGTAGGTCGCACGACCGATTGACGTCACAGTAATCCAATAATGTAATTTCTCACATGCGATTGTTTCCTTTTACAAGGACCCTACACATAACTAATAAGTAAAGCCAAATCATTCATCATATTCCGAAAGAAGATCATGTGTTCAGGACTTGCGAAACGACAAACACGATAGTCATCGATGATCTGGTACTATCTAGATCTCAAGCGCGATGTGCTGAGAGCCTGATCGCATACGACGAAAAATTAAGAAAGGTTATGACAATGGCATTCCTATTCCTAGTATGCGTAGTTTTTGGTTAAGTAGGTGTGTCAATAGGGTTGCCACTTTTTGTTTGAACAAATATAGTATTTTTCCCCAAAATAGAGTACATTTGAAAAATTCGGAAGAAAAAAGTACACGTTTATTTTTAATCAGTATGTATTTTTCCATGCTCTATTTATTATAGCTCTTTGTTTTGGCCATCAATGATCTAGCCACGTGACATTCTGCCTTATTTTCAAAATAATTATAAGAATCTGAGCAATTTAGGTTCATAATAAAATAAATTAACAGTTAATGTTTAATTAATAATTTTTCTTTCTTCTTTCAATTTTACATTCATGATGGAAAAAATTCGATTCCGTAAAACATACTTGTTTCAGACTTCCAATCACAGTTAATATAAAAATGTGCGACAGTTGAATTAGGAATAAAAATAAAGTATTTTTCGTACTTTATTATTTTTCTATAATATATAGTACGATTGATAAAAATATAGTACGACACTATATATGATAGTACCTACGGGTGGTAACCCTTGTAAAGAATGACTAAGATTTTTTTTTCACTAAGCGGAAGTGATAATCAAACTTACAGTCTACCCTATTAGGCCCGCTACATACATAAGGAATTCCGTTTCGCGATAACTTTTCGGAATTCCGATTCAAGATTCCGAACGCAGCAAGTCCATATAAAATCAATGACCTGAGTGAATGAATGAGAATGATGAATAGTTTTCACTTTTGACGAGCCGTCCTTACCACTGACAGTGTTTTTTAGAACATGCCGATTACTGATTAAAAAACTTTATATATATTTATTGGCAGAAATGAGTAAATAGTATTAAACTTCAGAATGAATGCAGAGCACTGTTGCGTGGATGAGTTGCTGCTGCCTTAACAATGACCTTGCATGGTTCACTCGCTGCCGACACCCGATATGCAGGCGTGATAAGTCACGCGTCGCACGCGGACTTGATTGACGAATGCACGTCTTTCTTGAATATGATTACCGCATCTATCAAATTCTTAGTAGGACACTTGTTATATACAACACACGCCTGCTGCCGCATTCGCATTCTTAGAAGCATACGTATCGCATTCTTAGAAAATTATTTGCCCAGTGAACATGCCTCGTTGATAGTTATAATGCTGCGGCTACACTAACGAGAAATGCCGTTAATTATTGCGTTGATGGACGTTGAATGTAGGTGTGGCCACGAATTAACGCGATAATTTGACATTTTTGGTTTTTTCCGTTTCACACAATTTCCCGTTTGGCGATAACTCGAGTGGCGGTACATCAAAGGATTAACGCGCGAATTATCGCGTTGAAGCGGCCACACTACGTTTGTCTCATTGTGCACGGTGACTGCAACGTCTCTAATATATACACAGTAATCTATGGTGCAACGGGGTTGCACGTATGGCTCCGATGGAGTGGAGTAATGAAAAATTACAACGTTTCTCGAGATCCTGCGAACAGAGCCATGTTTGTGGAATCCGAGACTTAAAAGGTTTAAAAATCGTACATCGCAAAATGATGCTTGGCGACGTATTTTGCAACTGTTACCTTTTCAAACATCTATTGAAGAAATAAAAGTTATTAAAGAAGAAAAACGTTATTATTTTATTAAAGTATATTTACGTTTGTCTTATTATTTAGCTTAAACCATTTGACGTCTTTTTAGTGCAATTTGGGTGCGGAAAAACAAAATAGAATTTTAATTAAAAAACATAATTCTTCTTTGTATTTTTTTTTGTAATTTTTTCTTTTTTTGTATTTTTTTCTTCGTTTGGCAATGATAAAATATATTCATATAATAAAAATTTACACTCATCAAATATAGAGTAGCTGCGTCCATGTTGCTTGAAATTCAGGGAACATTTAATAAAAACATTTAACGCAGTTCAACGGCGTTGAAATTGAAACTACGTTGACCGTTCAAGTGTAGCCACTCACTTTATTGCGTTAAATTTAAGGCAATAATTGTTGCGTTTATGGGCATTGACGTTTCTCGTTAATGTAGCCGCAGCATAAGAGTATCCGGTTCTACACAGCAGCATTAAGCTCCTATTTTCTGCTTACCATGCATAGATTGATACTTGAAAAAATAGTTGAAAAAAGTGTAGTCTTGTACGCTACAATACGGTGTCACTTCTGAGCGGAGCCTGAATAGGTTTTTTAAAATATAGAATAAGGTTAATTATTATGTATTAGAATTAGAATTATTATTTTTAAGCTATTGCATAGCTTCTATCGCGGGCCTTGAGCGCGGGGACCGAATCCGGAAATTCCGTAACGAAAAAAAACCTCACGCTCCCCACTCCGACGGGCACGGAGGTGTGGCTTGAAGGCCGTGCATTGTCTAACGTCGTTTCTTTTCGGCAGTCTTCGACACGGTGTTGACAAATATTCCTGAATAACCAACAGCTATCGTAAGATAATAAAACCCACATGTATTGTAAAATAATAAAAATATTTTAAACAATATTAACTTTTTATTTATTTAATAAAAGAAAAAAAATTGTTTTCTTATCGGTCACCACGCTCAAAAAGTGTAACTTGAATTAATATCAAAGAAAAAGAAATACTGCATAAATAAAATAAATAAATAATTATAATTGCATAAGTTGATACAAAATGCTATGCAATAGCTTTACCGCGGCAGTCCCCGAGTGTCACACGACTTTGTTTTATTATTAGAATAGGGATTGAATTTTGCTAAATTTAGCACGAAACAGCATTTAATAATGTTCATAAATTGAAGTCAACGCGAGCGAGTCGCGGTTAAAAAGTAGGGTAGGTAATAATACAGCAAAAATACGCTACGAAAATTTGGCGCC